TTGCTGCCTTCTCGCTGATTCGAGCTGATTTTGGAACACAAGCGGCTTCTCGTTAACATCTTCTTATGGGATGTTTTTTTAGCCAGGGGGCGGAGGAGCCACTCAAACTGCCTCTGGCTGACCGTCCCGGTGCGGTCCTGGGCAACGAAGCAGCCGCGAAAAGCAGGCGCACCCCGCGCACAAGAATGAGTAAATAGAAGAGTTGAACCGCCTCTCCTTGTCAAGGTGGCGCAAAAGGAGCCGGATCTTCTGCAGGACGGCATCTGAGGCCTCGCTGCCGTCTCTTCCCATGGTGGCGCCCCCTTTTTGGGGGCCTCTGCCCGCGGCTCAAACGGAGCTACTCGCAGAGGTTCCATGCTCGGCCCAAGCTCGAGCTGCGATCGGCTGCGGCTGCGAATAAGATAGATGCTGCAGAAAGACGACTTGAAGTCTGCGCGCATTCGGCCTTTGAAGATGTGCCTCAGCCGACGACGAGAGACTCATGGTTGAAAGGCTTCAGCAAATCACAGAAAAGCTCCCCGCACGGCGTCGCCATCGAAACCCAACTCCCTTGCAGGACGCATCTCTTCTCGCACGCTTAATACAAGGGCTGTGCCGACGACCGTTAGCAAAATGTTCCTACTAGGGTGCAGTGGCTCCTTTCTGGTCGTGTGCTACACAACACGGGATTCTGAGGGCAGCGCCGGCAGCCCCTCACGAACTCGGGAAGCGTCAAGGCCTCGCACACTTCCGGGCACAAAAAAACAGCCGGGCGGTTTCAATCTCCGCCATCTCCGCTCTTGCGTCCACTATCTGTCGCTCCGCCGCTTCGCGCAGCTCTGCCTGGCGATTGTTGGGATCCAGGATGGCCTCGGCGCCGCGAGCGAAGCGCCGCGAATGCACTAAACATACTCGGGAAGAAAATTGTGCCAAGTGGCGGGCAAACATTGAGGGACAGTTTGCTCGCAGACATCGTTGTGATCAACGTCGAGCTCGCGCACGGCAAAGAGTTTCATACTGGAACTCAGACACCGAGCAGGTGAGCAAATGGTTCATTTCAAATTTTATTCCGCAGATCATGGTTGGTTCTGGCGCAGCGAGCTAAACGTGTGGATCTGCATTTCGTTGGAGGCGTTAGTGAGTATGATGTTCCAGAAGCGGTGGTTTCTTTTTCTCAGCAAAATCGTCGCCGTTTGAGAATGAAGAAGTTCGCCTTCAGGGCACGTAGGTGGCGTTAACTTGATCCTGTGGCTGGTTGGAGGCGGAAAATCTTCAAACCGAGTTCGACATGGACGCCTTCGCTTGATCAGATTCCGGAGTTTATTGAAAAACATGAGACGGCCGCTCGTGGTGATCTCTGTTGGTCTGTTTATTGTGCAAAGCGGGTTGAGAGGGGCTCAGCCTTGATGCGCCATCTTTCGTTTGCGGACCATTGGGCTATGAAATGGTTATCTGCGCACGCATCCATCATGGATGTCCTTCGGACAAAAGTCTGGGCACTGCAGTGCTGACCAAAGCTTGCTGTGACAAGCCGGCACTGAGAGCTTTGCAGAAGTCTCAGCAATCGGTCGATCAGGCAGCTACACAACGTATCGTTCAGAATGCAAAAACGCTTATTCGAAATGTCGTTGCATTTGCCAAGCCATTCCACATTCTCTATCCTCGAGTGTGTGAGTTCGCCAATGTGCTTGTTCGATGATGCTGGGGCCCATGTTACAATTGCCAAGACAGCTCATGAAGGTTCACAAGCCTAGTTACTTGGGAGAGCCGTATGATTGCTTCGGGGGTGCGTTGGATGACAAAGCCAATCGCTGTCCTTGTCGCAAAACATTTTCAAACCATTGTGAACTCTTTCGAGGCAGTTGCACGCGACACCGCGAATGTGATCAGTGCAGTGGAATGTATTCCGACAGATATGTTAGCTTCTTCACATGCTGCTACGTTTGATGTCCATGATTTGTACCCGTCCATAGAGTTTGAACCTTGCATGGCTGCTCGTATTGCACTCAACACCCTGTTGCATATGCTGGTGTGATCGTTGAGGTACTGCTCAACTTCGTTGACATCATTTTCCGAGCGCAGTTGCTGAGGCATCGTGCGCTAGTCTCCGATGAAGTGTTCTGTTATTTGCAAAGAACCGAAATCGCAACAGGATTGAGTTGTGCATCAGAGCTTGCCAACATCTTCCTACATGGGCTTGATAAGCTCATATTTCGAGATTTCCGATGCCGTGCATTGTGCTGCAAGCGCTTCGTCGATGACATTCTTGTGATCGTGAATGCTTTGGCAGTACTGGCAAACAAGTTTTTCTGTGACACATGCTGCCGATGGAGATTCCAAGCCTGCACACTTTCCTCGACCTATGGTTGCATTTGGACACCGAGAAGATCCAGTTCGCCACGTGCCACAAGCCGAGATGTTGTACATGTACACGCCGCTCAGCAGCTGCCATCCCCTGAACGTCAAACGTGGGATTGCGATGACTGAGTTGACAAGATCATTGCTTACAAGCAGTTCCGAAGCTTCCCTCAACTGGAATCGCGGCGTGCTCTTTCAGAAACTTATAGCACGAGGATACCCAAGATATTTGCTTGATGCTGTAGCCCAAGAAGGACGATGGTGTTACAAACATTCGGCTACTACATCGCGTAGTGACAGATCTTCGATGTATGTAGTTCCATTCCTGTTGAAATTCAGACTGGCTTTAGCGCATGTCAGGATCATTCAGTTCTTGAATCGCCTGGCATTCAACACCTTTGAGTGTGACAGTGTGCAGATGAAACTTGTCATATGCTTCCTCTCGAATCCAGACTTGTTTCGAATGAGATTCGCCGTTTCGTTTAAGTGATGTTGTCGGGTGTTCACCCATGGGTTTCGGGAAAAAGTTGAACTTTTTCCCGAATATGTTTAACGCCGCTCTTCTGAGGCCAGCGGCCCAGGCCCTGGAGAGGTCGAAGCCCGTGCGGATCCAAAGCACCTCGCTGCCAGAGCGCTCAACGGCTCAACCCCGAAGCACCTCGCAGCACTGCGATGCACTGCAGTTGCGGTGCGCCTGCTCAAAGAGCTCCAGATTCGAGGCTTCTTCGTGGTCCAGCCTCCGGCAAGGAGCACTGACCGCTCCGCATCGCTCCGCATCGCTCCGCTACTCCGCCGCTCCGCTTGTCTCTCCGCTTTCCCTCCTTAAGGCGGCGGCTCCCAGAACTTCATCCCGGCTCCTCTCTCTCTCTGGCACGCGCCCTTCACTTCCACTCTCCCAGCCGCGTCGCTGTGGCGGCTCTTCGGCTCTTTCTCGTCTTCAGGCGCTCTCAGGCTCCGGGTCCGCCACCGGTCTCGGCTCTCTCGCAGGCCTTGCGCGCGCGCTTCGCTCGCGGCTCGTCGGGCAGCTCGCAGAGGGAACCGAAAGTGTCCGTGATCAGCGAGAGCAAGCAGACGATGCGTTTGTTCACCGCCTTTCCATGGGCACGACACAAGAGCTCAGCCGCCGCATCGGCGCTGCCAAGACGCGCAACTCGCGCCTCGTCTGCAATGTCCCGCATGATGGGGAAGGCCAACATGGAGAAGATGAGACCCCGAGCAGCAATGGCCTCAAGCAGCATCGCATGTAGTATGCTGCATCCTGCAGGAAATTGATCCCACCGTCTAAGACATTCGCAATGACATGCACAAGACGCCTTTAGCCGAGACGTATCTTCATCAATCGGCTGCAGGACTGCTTTCTGCGTCTGCCGCAACGCATCTTTGAAACTCAACTGCGTCAGTTGGTCACCCATCCTTGGCTTCACAAGGTCATGTGTCTTAGGAGAGATGGGGGCCGTCTAGAAGCAGGAACAGAAATGAGCAAGCGTGATGGAGCTGGTATGACCGGCTCGCCAGCTGAGCTGCACCCCGACCAGGCTACCAGAGTACTCGCTGTCCTCCGACATACAAACCCACATTGCGTGGGATTCGACTCGCATGAGCACGGTCGACTCCCTTCGTCCTCCGGGAGTCGAACGTAAGTCATCATCACTTTGCCCACCGTCTCGTCCCACGTGACCTGTTCCGAAGCAAACTGCTCGCAACGCTGCTCTTGTGGGAACGCTTTTTCAACGAGGGTGCAAAGCTCTCGGCGTGGGTGTTCAGGATGCGTAGCTGCACTTCAAGCTCGGAACACCGCCAAGCGACGCGGGCATCACTCAAGCCGTTCGCTACCCGAAGCTCCTCTGAAAGCTCGCGAGTTCGAGGGGCAGCCGAGGCACCAAGTCCCGCAGACGCCGGGCCAAGACATCCCCGAAACCGGGGGACTGAAACCGGTCTGCGATCACCAGCACCTGAGCACACGTCGCTGCAAGACGCGACAAGCCTGGACGTGCATGATTCCTGTGCACACGAAAGCCCTGCTTTTCCCCAAGGCCTCCAGAATGTAGTCCAGGTTCAGGCCTTCCTCAAGGTCGCCTAGGGAGCAGACTGCGTCCAGGCGCGATCTACGCGACGAGCCATTCTCACGCAACAGGAGGGATACAGGGATCTCTCAAGAACCACGACGAGCCGGCAACAGCGACGCTCGACTCTGTTTGGGAGAAAGCGAGGAGGGTGCTTTGCCATGGTTTGCTGGCTTCCGAACCAAGCTGCCGGTGTAGAGGAGGTGGAGGTATTGCTTGAAGGTCTCCACGTCCACGTCCACGAGCCGCACTTTCGCCGTTTGACCCTCCTGAAATGCCGTGTGCCGGAACATCGCCGCCAGGACGGGGCTTCGGGCTGCCAGCACGGACTGGTGGGCCGCCAGAGTGCAGCTTGCATCCTCAGGGCCCACGGCGATCCTTACAGCGACAGAGAAGGGGCGGGGGGGGGGGGGGCGTTTTGTAGGCCCTCTTGATCCGGGACCCGCGCTCCAGGTCCGTGTGTTCCTGACGCTGGGCCTTGCCCGACAGACCGAGGCACAGAAAGAGCGAGCAGAGCGCAGAGAAGAGCTCCCACCCCGGGCCCCGCTGCGCCTGATCCAGCAGCAGCCGGCCCAGCGACGCCGAGGCCGTCATTGCATGTCATCGGCGTGAGAAGCGTGGCCTGTTTCTGTCTCGTCGCTGTTGCCAGTGTCTACTCGTTCTGGCATTGGAAAGGGGGCTTTCTAAACTTGAAAGGGGTGCAGCCCGGGTTCTCGAGGGCCACCAAGAGCTGCGGGCAAGTGCGATGTGCTTCTGGCTTTTGACTCTCTTCCGAAGCCGCAGTGCTCCTCCGCTCACGCGGCAGCTCTGCCAGATTTGCTCGGCCGAACACCTCTCCAAGCCGTCCAAGCGAAGCTGCTCCGTCCCCAGTGCCCTATACGCTTCCCCATTCCCCCCACCCGTAGAAGCGGCAGGCGCGGGCGAACTCCGCCTGGCTGACCCAGCCTCCGAACAGAAACCCTCCGTGGCCTTGGCCTCGGTGCTGCCTTGCGAATCCTTGCGACTGCGCCTACCCCCTGCTTGTCGAAGTCGCAGCGCCAAGCCTTCGATCGAAAGCAAAGGGCTGAGCTCTGCTGCAAACTGCAAACCCCTGCCTGGCCTTGAGAGAGGTTCCCCGAAATCGCCGAAGCCTCGTCTAGACCACGCAAGAACGACTCCTGCCGCTGTCGGAACCCTTGGGCAGTGGCGACACCAGCAAGGTCTCCACCAGCATGCGCTCACGACTTGCTCCTGGCCACTATAGACAGCTCCCTGATTTTGCTGGAGCTCGGAACGTCCTGACGACACTGCAGCAGCCGCCGCGGGATGAAATCTCGGCACCTTGGCAGGACAACATGAAGTAAGGATGTCTCCAAGTCTGGGAGCAAGCTGCATAAAGCAACGCAAGGGCAAAGCAAGGCAAGGGCAAAGCCTGCAGCCACTGCTCTCGCTGCTCATGCCGCCTTGGCAGAGGAGTCGCAGTCAAGAACCCACTTCCCTCGGACGGGGAGGGTGCCCCAATCTAGTTGATACGCCTGACACTCTTCCGCTCAACATCATTCAACTCATCCAGCGCACAATGTCCGTGCATCTCTTGACGAACATACCTGCCTTCCGGCCAATCGACCTACCTCCTCTCTCGCTGCCTGCCTGCCTACATACATACATGCATACATACGTACATACTTTCATGCATACATGCATATGTGCATACATGCGTACATGCATACATGCATACCGCATGCGTGCATACATGCATACATGCATACGTGCATACGCACGTACACATTATGTACATACGTACATGCGTATTGCATACATGCATACATGTATCCATCATGCATCCATGCATCCATCCACCCATCCACCCACGCATCCACACACTCATGTACTGGCAGACATAGAAATGCATACACACATGTAGTACATACATGCATACGCATGTAACCATGCATCTACAAATATAGTGCTCTTGCAAGCCATTACGCATTTTTGTTGCTGTGTTTGATTCTGCGAATGTTGCACGACTGCTTGTATTTGCTACACTGCTCGTTAGCAACCTCTGGCAATCTCATCTACCTACATCATAGACAAAGAAAGAGATAGATGGATCGGCAAACATATACATACATAGATGGAGGAAGAGATCGAGAAATTGATTTAGAGAGATGGAGATAGAGAGGTTGAGCGAGAGATAGAAGAATCAGTGGGTACTTGCTCATCATCTGCGGTGCATGCAGATACTGCCAAAGCTTTGCAGGCAGCAAAATAGGCACGCTGCAGGCATGGCCCGGCTCAAGGGCTAACTGCATACCAGTAGATAGATGAACTGATACAGATAAACAGACAAACGAATAAAACATTCTCATAGACATGCTTGCTAGTATGCTGAGTTCTATCAGAGGGCACATTGGAAGGCTTGTTGACCTTCTCGCCACAACTGCTAGGTGCTGCAAGGTATGCCCGTATGCCAGTGTGCCCCTCCGATCTACATCTACATGCAGGCCGACTTGCAGAAGTCACTTCAATGTGCCCGGGCAGATGTCCACAACGCCAGAACACACACTTGGGACCCGACAACTCCGACTCTGCTCTCTCTCTTGCTTTGAGCTCCAACCTCGCGGCACGGCCGTTGCCCTCGTGACTGAGGCTGCTGTCGCTGCTGTCTAAGGTGCCCACACATCGAAGCTGGATGTCAGGGAACTATCGAGTGACTTCGAGTCGGGTGGCGAGGACGGCGAGCTCGGCGAGGGCCGTGCTTTGTCCGACGCAGCCGAGGGGCGGCGAGCCACCGTAAGTCCCGGCATGGAGTTGCGGCGGGGCGCGGACGGTGCGGACGGTGCTGAAGCTTGCGGCTCCAGCGGTCCGGTCACCATTTCGGAGCGGTGCCGGAGCTCGCCCTCGCCGGCCATCTCGACATAGCCGTCCTCCTCCCAGAAAGGCACCTCCTCCTCTTGCCGCCCCGGCCTCGGATGCAGAGAAAGGGACGTCTCGCATTCCTCCCACCACGCCCCGCCTCCCCACATCTCTCGGGGCAGGCGAAAAGGCCAGTTCGGCCATCCAGGCCAAACGAACAACCTGCAGTTGCAAGCGACAGCGTGCTTAAGCCTCTGCAGAGACTCTGACGAGCTGCTCTCAAGCCATGGTGGGCTGCGGCCAGGCCCGGCGTGCTGAAGCCGCTAACGTCTCGATCCAAAGGGTGCAGGGCCGAGCAGGGCGGAGGAAGGATCTCAGCGGCTGCGAGATCAGAAGCATAGCGAGCCCTCATTTCGCCCCCACCCTGTTTTATCGGATCAAAGAGGCGCTCGGCAGAGCATGAGCCTCCACGCTACGCTGCAGGCACCTCACCCAGGTTGAACCTTTGGGGCCTATGTGCCCTTGGGCAGGTGGTAACACTCACTTTCAGTGAGTGGGCCGGCCCAGCCCAGCATCTCTCCAGGCCAAGATGCAAGCAAGTTCTTCTGGTGCCAGAATCATGCCGCCTTATGCTGCCACTGCCTGGACTGCATGCATGCTTGACCCCCTGTAGGTGCTGCTAAAAAGATCCCAACACTCAGTGCTTTGAGCATCTGAGCCAGGGTTCGACGAGAGCCATTTAGCGCCGGAGGCCCGTGACGGCCTCAACGTATCTCTCTCACTGCGATGGATCTGGGGAGGGAACGGACAAGCGCCAGCCTCAAGGAGGCGCGAATCGTCAAAGACCAGGCTGTCGCGGAGGCTTCGGAAGTCCGTGTCCCGAGGCCTGAAGCCAGTTTGGCGGCCCTTTTCTTGCTCACTCGATCGTCTTCGTGATGATGATGATGATGATGACGACGACCATGCATTCACTCTCGCTGCTACAGTTTGCCTTCTCTTCCGCAATTCTGGGAATGACAACTGTGCGTTTTGAGAGCACCCACGTCGACGCCCCTAACTCTGAATAGCGTCAAAAGTCGATCTTCCTCTCACTGCGACGTCTTCACATCTCAGCAGCCACAGGAACGAGATAGCAGGTATCGATCTGTGGTTTTCTTCTTAGCTGCTGTCTTCCGAAATCGCTACGTTTTCGGTGTCCTTCAAACTTCGCGAGGTTCCTGTGACCATCTGACTATCTGCGGCGGTAATGCATGAAAAGGTATGAGGCCCTGGCCCTCGCGGCGGTGCACCTGACTTGCACGTGTCGCTAAAATCCAGAAACGAGAGCGAGCGAGAGCGAGAGCAAGCCTGGGTATCGACGGCCCACTCCCTGGCATCCGAATGACCAGGCGGGCCTTGCACCCATCTTAACTCTCTGCAAAACATCTGAAAGCTACAAAGTAGGGCAGCGCTGGGGCGGCGCTAGGTGCGAGACGAGGTCTTCAGGAGCAGGAGCCGATCCGCCTCTCAGAGCGAGTGCATGCGAGATCAGAAAGGTATGACACACCTTTGGCCAACTACAAGACAAGCAGCCTTTCTAGGGGTCGAGACTGTCGAGACCGCTTCCGGTGCAAGGCTTTCCTGGATCCACATGGAGTGACATTCGCGAGAAGAAGGCCTGGTCGAGCCTTACCTTCGTGTCGGGTAGCAGCACTGGAAAACGAGGCGAACGGCCCCAGTTCGCCGGCGGGCGCTCAGCTGAGGGCTCCTGCCAGCGACCCCGAAGCCCAAAACGTTGCTCAACTCTGGTCAGCTGCTGGCCTCGTCACTTCGGGCCACGGAGGGTGTGACCGGCGTGGCCGTGGGCTGCACCGGCGGGTGCAAAGTTTGCACCGGAGCCTGAGCCTGTTGTCTCTTCCCTACCTTTTCTGCCTATGACGACGGCAATCGTTTGCACCGGGCCTGGTGGCTACGGAAGTCTTCCCGCGAAAAGAAAGGTCTCGGAAATGTGGTGTATACCGACAGCACCTCAAGCTTGGACGGCTCCCGTCAACCTTACTAGTCTCTGCTGCGGCCTGCTTGCTGCAGAAGTCGTAATGCTTCTTGCGGTGCTGGTCCTCCCTCGTCACATAAGCCTTCACGGAGTCTAAAGCGCTCACATCGATCAAGGCAGGCAGGCCGTCCTCCAGCAACTGCCGACGTGTCTTCGCCTCTTGGAGACTCTTGGCGCAAGATGATAGTCTCACACTTCGAAGGTTGTGGCCTCCTGCTTCTACAAACCTTGCTTGTCGAATAAACCCATCTGCCATATGAGCGCTTGCCCCCGCAGGTTGGGCGGCTGGGGACTGTTGGGACCTGCTGCCCTGGCCCTCTCAGCACTCATCTGCCTTGGCCTTCAGAGGGCCACTCGGACCTCATACACTCGAGGTTTGTCAAGACATGGCATACCTACGTCGGCCGCACTTCGCCTGGGCGACGCTCCGGATGTTCGGGACGCTCCTGCGATTCCCGCTCCGACCTCTCCGGCGCCTGCACACCACCGATGCAGTTCTTTTAGTCCCACTACATCCCACTTTGGGCCCTCGACCAAACCCGTGACTGAGTGGCCTCCATGACACGAGCAGAGTGGATTCCATTTCACCGACTCTAACGCCAGAGCCGCAACGCTACAGCGGAGAAGCTCCAACGAGAAAACAGCAAGCTTCGAGCGCCACATGCTGACATGATGCGGATCCTGCTTTTCGACCGGCGCTGCACCCCAGCCACCGTTCACCCGTTCTAGGACGCACAGCCCTGCTGGCCCGGCGCAGAGCTATCCACCGATGCATTAACTGCCCAAGCTCTGCTTTGCAGATCTCAGACGCGTGCTTTATCCTCAAGCTCCTCCCGGCACCTCTGGCACCTGTGCCTCGACTTCTCGCTGGCGCGCCTGCTCGCATCTCCAAAGGGCGCCCTGGCGTGAGCTCACACACAGACTCACCCGGCCCAGGGAGCTCTGTTCTTTCACACCGTGATTTCTCCATCTCCCGTATCCCGATTTGTGTCTCAGTGCAAGCTCCGTTGCAATTTTGTCCGCAGAATTCTGACAATCCTGGCGGAACACATCGTGCCCTTATATTATAACGAAAATCACCGCGGAGGCACACACGGAAAAGTGGCGACATCCATTCAGGTCCATTGGCCAACTGCCTACTGTTGCCATCCTGATTAATTGCCTTAGTATTGTAACTTGTCAGGACTCAAACTCTCTCAAATGAAATCGGTTTCAGTCTGTACATCGCAGGTACACTCTTGCCCGTCCCCACGTGCTTCCACTAAATTTGCCATAGATTCGTTGGACAGCATACGCAAATCAGCTCCCGCCCCACGGCTGCTTTCGAAAATGTTGTTGAGATGCATTCCAAAAACCCTCAGCGAATGATCAGGGAGGGCTTTCACACACACACACACACACACACACACACACACACACACACACACACACACACACACACACACACACACACACGCACACACACACACACACACACACACACTGACTGATTCGGCCGAGAGCACGAGTGCAAAAGGAAAAGAGGGAGGCATGTTGCTGTCAATTCAACCGACAAATGTGGCAACTGAAAACTAATCTTGGCACAGGGGCCCTCTAATCTTGCTGGCTCAGGGTCCCCAGCTCATTTTGTGCAGGCACGCCAGACTGATCAGGTCTGGTATCCACCATTACGCATAGCTTCGTTGGCATGCGTTTGCGTAATGGCCGCATGCCCCCTGCATACTGTCAGGTGTTTCCATGAAAATGTGTTCCAAAGAAGCATCAAATTCGACAGAAAGGAGTGACCCTTTGCTCCCATGTGCTAGGGAGGTTCACACACACACAGCCCCTGTCGGGGCGTGATCGCACTTTATTCCAGCAGGTAATCAGCGGCAATCAGCGGCAATCGTCAAGCTGTAACGTCTACTTAAAGGGGCAATCCTTTAACAATTTGAAGTGACACCGACATCGATATCCGGCGCGTACGAGCATCTTAGCGCAAGCAGTCTTCGACCGTTTATACATGACTGTAGGATGCACAACATCATACGGAGCGATGGAGTCAGAAGACCAAGGCTCACGGGATGGCGATCGAGGACAGGCTGCAACTGCAGGTGTAGATGCTGTAGGAGAGGCTGAGGAAGTTGATTGCGCCGAGCATGTTGGCTTTCGTTTGGTCTTCTTCGGCTGCTTGTGAAGCTGCTTCAATGATGGTGGCGACGTCGATGCTCTGATAGATGATCTTCTCCGTCGTTTTTCCTTCTTCTTCTTGGTCTTGCGACTGGCGCGCTTGTGCTTCGTAGAAGGTTTGCGGCTGGATGAAGGTTTGTCAGCCTGCATGAGTGTGGCGAGTTCGTCAGAGTTCCACGAGCTGATCTCGTCCTCCGCTGCTGGCATCTTTTCGTTCGTGGTGGTAGAAGTCGTAGTGCCTGCTGTGTGGGTTTTGCTGGTGATGCTCGAGGAAGCGTGACTTTGGGAAACATCCTTCTGCAAGAATGCCTCGAGTTCCTCTGATCCCCACGAGCTGATGTCGTCCCCGTCCGGGTGCGAAGTCATGTTAGGCAAAAGGTACGTAGATGTTTTCCATTCACATAAATGGCTGCGGAAATACAAGCAAGGCAATTTCACGTTCAAATGCAAGCGTGCAACAACAACATGGTGCTGACTGTGTTCATGGCAGGTGACAGGTTCCTCATCCATGCTCTTAAAGTGGGGTCCAACATCTGCAACTGTTATGATGTAACGGTACAGCTTTGCTGTGTGGTGTGGCCGCTGTAAGCAGCAAGTATGCACTGAATTATCAACTCAGCTGTGGTACTCATGGAGTTCGAGATCTCTTTCTCTTGTTGCATGTAGGCGTTGTCGTAGTTGAATCTGCATCCTGTGTGGTAGTAGTAGGGGATGCTGCACACCGATCAAGTTGTTGTGAATGGTTGCGTATCCACTCCTGAGAAGCAATGAAGTATTCTCGCCACCATGAAGATCCGTTAGTGGCCCAATGCCATCTCCACTCTGACGCGCGTGGAGATCTTGATCTTGTGCGTCGCTCCATGATAATAACACAGCAGGTTGTAAGCTAAATGGCTGCGGTCAGTGATATGTAAATGTTCAATGGCAGAGTGTCATGAATGCGGCTTGCAGTTGCTCGCAGTACAGAGTGCAATGAGTGCGGCTTGTAGTTGTTTTCAACGTAGATTGCAAGGCAACGCACATATTCCAACTCTGCTGGCCTTCTTTACGGCTGTATCAGAGCTTCGAGTCGTTCGACTCGGTCTTTCAGCTCTGAAATTTGTCTGTTTGTTTGAGTGGTAAACTCGGCCAACTGATCACGGAAGGCCCAGTCGCTAAAGGTGGAGACTTCACTGCCGGTGTCAGAGCCGTGCTCTCGGCGTTCGGTCAACATCTCCAGAAGCGCTTGGGTGAGAGCCTCACGTCGTGCCTCATCCATAACAGGCGGAGCTGTAGTCGTTGTCTCTGTTGGATCGGATGCATCACTCATGGATTCAAAGTTGAGGGGCGAACGTTGTGCAGCTGAGGCCAAAACTTACATCAAAAGTAGAAGTGGCTTGCTGTGTGATGCACTTGCACAGTCAGAATAAAGCAACTTTTTCATAACACCTCGCATGGATCCACACCTACGACCAGTCTGGCGTGTTCTGCCTCATTAGGCTCTCGAGAATATCAAGTTGCTGTTTGCACGAAGCCATGATTGCAGTAGTGGCTTCGTGTTGGGTTGTCAACACTGTCGTAGCTTGTTGTATCAAGCGTTCAAGCTTGGCGTTCGACTCAAGCAATGAGTTGTGAAACTGATGCAGCAAATTAATAATCTCCGTGGTGTCTGTCGGAGCAGGTGGTGCGTCAGGAGGATATGGTGGAGTACTCGGCCCTGGAACGTTCGGTTCAGGAAGGTCTTCCGGATCTTCCAGTTGTTCCTGGTGCTGCTCGTCCTCCTGTTGCTCCGCAACACGCAAAATTTGAGAGCGTAGTGGTGGAACAGCCGGTGGATCTGTGTTGCTGGTTGATGGCTGGCTGCGCCTGCGCTTGTTCTGCTTGGAAAAGGGTTGATGATGTGGTCGGCTGCTCAGCGCTTTGTGCCTCGGCTGCAATCTGCCGGTCATGGCACTTTTGTACATGTTGCTGGCGTTTCTACCTATAAAGGGCTGCGGCACACATCACACAAGCGGTGGGACAGAACGGTCATTGCACCACAAAGCAAATCCAACTAAACGCAACGGTGCGCTTTATTTTTCTACAGCTGTTGGTCAGTGTATCCGGCCGCGATGTACAGATCGCGCATGGCTCGAATGGCATGTGTGGCTTCTCTGCGAGGTGTGGTCACCCGCCGGACCATGCGTGTGCGCGCTTGGTAGCTGCTGCGAAGTGTTGATGTGGAAGTGGCCGATTGGGGGTGCAAAATGTCTGCCTTGTGCAAACTGCATTGGTAGGTGAGGCTGCTGTTGTGAGGGTTTACAGCGAAGCCCAGGAAAATGTCTGCCGGTTCAGTTTCAAGCTGAACCGGTGGCTTGTAAAAGGATGCAGCTGTGAGCTGTACAAAAGGAGGCAGTCGGGTCAGATGTTTCGGTAAGAGAAGAACACGATTGTCAACGTATCGTGTAGCAAAGAAGATGGCATGTTCTTTGTGGGTGATGTGCGGGAAGTGTTTGTGGTTGGTGAAAAGTTGCTTGTATGTGTGGTGCCGACATTGTTCTTCCACTACTACCACTATGTTGCACAGCGCCGGGCTGCAGGGAGAACCCATGGGCGCTCCACGAAATTGCTCGATGAGAGATTTGCCCACAGTGAAGTAGTTGAGCATCAAAACTGCTGTGATGAGCTGTGGGATGTGTTGCAAATGGATACATAGTTTGCTGCCTGATGAGGCTTCTTGTTGTTTTTGTCTGCTTTTGCCACGGTGGACCCGGTGTGTAGGGTCTTTCTGGGAATGGTCAATGTAGAAATTGGTGGAGTGCAGTGGATTTTTCTCTCGATACCATCTGGCAAGGACCAACTGGGGAAGACCATTTGGTGGCGAAGACTGCTTGGATTGTCATCGTCATTTTTGGGCCTCAGCCTCGTGGTTAGAGAATGTCATTTCGCACCATGTGAAAAACAATTTTGGGCCCTGCAAAAACAAATGATCGTTTCATTGCTGTTCTTTGGATATCTTGCTGCTAATGGGGCCGGCCATGCTTAACATATTCTGACTCTTTTTGGGTATTGAATCAGTTTGCGAACTTGTCCGCTGAGACAGAGTGGTACGGTTGTCTTGGGGGTTCGAATGCATGTAGGATGGGCTCGGAAAACGGCTCTACCAACCCCCCCTTGTTCTGGCCGCAAAAAAAATCGAGGCGCAAACTATGCAGGTGCCGGCAAGCTTGGTTGGCCAGTTTGACGTCCAGGGCTGAAAATGAGGCATGAACATAAAGGGACTGGGGCTCGAGTTACGGGAGTTGGGCATAATGTCGACGGTTGTGGGCTTTCTGTTCATGCCCAATCGCACGAGACCAAGTCTTGAAAGGGAAATGAATAAAAATGCAAAGGAAACGATTCGGAAATGCATAGGAAACGATTGCCAGTGGAAAACAAATTCCAGACACCCGTGAAAAGTAGGACGAATAATAAAAAAACTATGCGAAATAATCAATGAAACTATGGAACAATAGATTCAACCATATGCAAACAGGACAGAACCTAAAATAAATTTCTGAACAGAAACAAAACATACCAAAAAAAACACAGCCAAAAGCAAACGCAGCAGTACTAACAGCACGAGCCTAATTATTATAGTATTGTGTTCCACCGTAATCGTTTGTTTCTTGCATTTGTGTTCTTATTCATCCTGATTTGTAGAAGCGCTTTTCACACATTTTGCTTTTTTGTTCAGGATGCAGCAATGTCTGCTGCTGCAATTTCGGTTTTGGTTCTCTCGGTATATAACTCTAGCATTTGCAAAAATATTTTGATCGGACATATATGTTTCAAGTGCCTCTCACACATGTGGGGTTTAAGTTCAGTGGGCTCGAAGCCCCCGCATACGTTTAAAGTAAAGCTTAGCGGGTTTAGGCTTCGATCGTCCAGTTCCAGAGTTTCCAATGCCATGCAAGTCACCACTGCCACGGCTCAAGACGGAAGCTGCTGAACACGATGCTTACATTTACAATGACTCCCGCAGCAACCGAAGGTCTGGAGCCGGTGACTTCTGCAAAAAGTCAGAAAAGCAACTAAGTAATAGTGCCGCAAAAGTGGCCTGAAAACATGTGCACCTCTTTGCAGCAAACAACTGGGAAATCGTGCTGCGCTGGAGGCAGACGACCTCACGGCAAAACAGCAGTACATGGAGACGATCCTCAAAGAGAACGTGCAGCTGAAAGAAGTCAAGGAAAAGGCCGCCAAATTTCACCAAGACATGAAGGCCAGCTTGGCAGCCCTCAATGCTGCTATCGTATGGTCCGTCATGGACGCCTGCTTGCCTGAAAGCCTAGCTCGAAGCTGAGTCGGGCAGGCTGAACCAAGCCAGCAGCATGCAAAGCTAACATCATCAGTCGCTCAACGTTCCTTTTTTCTGCACGGCACCAGGCTTCAGCACTTGTGCTAGGAGCAACCTTGGACTGACACAGGAAGAAAACCTAACTACAGACTTGGCCCTCTCTCAGCTGTTGAGCTCGTAGTCTGGCACATAGGTGTCCTCCTCAGAGGGATCTCGCCGCTGAATCGCTCTGTCGTCCTCTTTCATTTGCCGCTTGCATTCCCGCAGTTCCTCAAACTGCCTTTTGATGGTCTGGTTCTCCTTGGCCAAGCGGCGAATGACTCGGTAAAGTACTGCTCCGTCTGTGACACTGATCTGGAAATCCTCAGCGGTCCTGGAGTCATGCGAAGGTAAAGACACTTCTTGACGTAGCTTGTGCTTGTGTTGAGGGAGCAGTGTTCGACACAGGCCGCTCATCGTAAGATTTGCTCTCAAGGCCCTGAGTTAGGTTGCTGGTGTTGGCCAGTGCCGTTGGAGGGGTTGGAGAGCTCCCCTTTGGGGGCTACGCCCTTCGGGGTCCATGGGCCGGCGTGACGATGAGAAGGAGCGGGGGCCTCCGCCAATACCCTTGCTCTATCAGGGCATGCGCCTCTCCATGGAAGAGTTCGAGGACGCCTATGCTTCCCTTGAGGACCTGATTATCTTCCAGGCCATGGGGAATGAGAACGAGGCCCTGGGATATGCCATTGGGAAAATCACGAAGTTCTTTCCTTGCGAGGACACAGGGGCACATGTCGAATTGACTTACCTGGGATGTGAGAATGAGTTTTACCGATGATATATTGAACATGAAGGAGAAGCCGGTGGCTTGCCCAAAGGGTTCTCGCATCACTTGTGCAGGCGCGCACTCAGCACCTGCATGAGGAAGGAGGGCCGAAAGATGATTCATGTTCAGAAGTGGGCCCCAATCTCCAGGGAAGATGCCTACACCTTGCTTCGTGGCTGGGGATACAAAGGGCACTCTGACTTGTTACGCCGAGCGCCGTTGAAGCGAGCCCCTCAGTCGAGCAGTGTTGCAGGGGCCTCTCCAAAGAGGCGTGCTGAGCGGCAGGGGCGTGCTGACGGCACTGACCCTGAGGAGCCGGTGGATGTGGATGAAGAAGAGGAGCCGGTGGTTGAGGAGCCCCGGCAGCGCCGGCGGCGTACCCGGGGCACAGCAGCCGGGGCCTTGGAGACGGCCAGCGTGCTGGACAGCATGCTGGAGACTGGGCCAAAGAGGGCAAGCTCGGCGGGCCGGGCTGATGATGCGGGGCCGTTGGAGGCCAGGCTGGCTGGCTTGAGGAGCCGGCTCCAGGAGAAGGTTGGGGACCCCAAGGCCGGGGCCGCGAAGGTGCTGGCTGATAAGGCTTTGGCCGTGGCTTCTGCCACGAAGCCGAGGCTTAAGCGGACTCGCTCTCGTGACGTAGCCCATGCCCTGCAGAAGGCACTCCGGCCGCGCAAGAAGCAGGCTGAGGATTACGAGGGTGAAGGCTCTTCGAGTGACGAGCTGGATGACGACGATGCCCTGGAGGTGGCAGGGGATCCTTCCAGCTTGGTTGTGAAGCGTCGGCAGCTTAAGAAGTACGCCCAGGAGCACCCAGGACAGTTGCTGGTAAAGGGCTTGGCAAACATGCGTGAGCAGGTCGGGGCCCTCTATGGTGATGATGATGACGGGAGCGATCGCTATGCTCCCGTTGTGAACAGGTACTTGCTTTCGGTTTTGCTGCCCAACTACCCGGCGAAGCAGCAATCGGAGGACCAGCTGAGGGAGATGAGGACGCTCGCTTTGGGCATCGACTTGATTCTGAACGCTTCAAGTCATTGTGCATGGGGCTTCGGGATGGTAGCACTGCTGCGGAAGAGTGGCGGTGCCCCCTAGGGACTCCGGGGAGGTGTGGAGACCGGCAAGTCCCACACCTCGCCCGACCATCCGAAGGTTGCCGAGCCGAGGACGCCGCCACGGGAGCCGTCGCGATCGCCGAGACCGAGGAGCCGGAGCCCAGGCCGAGCGCCCGCGATCAAGGCGCCTCTCGAGAGGCTCACGCCACGGAAGGAGGATGGCAAGGACAGACGAGTGAGCTTCTCGCCGGGGGGACCGGCCGTGGACAACGGGGAGCAGGTGAGTTTGGGCACCATGGCGAAGGCCAGGCAAGCAGTCCCTCGACGGGAGGGGGAGAGCCGGACACAGTGGAAAGACCGGATATTCAACCACCTGCGGCAGGGCCAGTGATGGGGCTGGCCGGGCAGGGATTGTACACTTCGTTTCCCCAGGCGAGAGCTGACAGTGCTCCTGGCTTGGGTGTGATTTTTGAAGCTTTTGGTGTGCCTCGGGACATGTGCCTTCAAGAGCTGGCCGAACATGCTTTATGCCATGCTAAATGCCACAATAAGCTGCAGCTGGGGATTACACTTTTGCAGTTGTTGGTTGCGACCTTGGACGGCCGGGGTGACACCAGCTTTCTTTCGAGCCTCTTTGGTACCATCACGCCTTTCGGCAAAGGGACCCAAACGCAGGAAACAAAGGGTAGGCAACGCGACTTACTTCCGCTGCCCTTGCCTGCCTTTGGTGCTCTCCTTAGTCTTGTGCCCAAGCTTCAACGAACCTCTGCAGGAATTCTCCTTTGGGATCCGGCCGAGGCTCGGAAGACTTGCAAACAGCAGCTTAAGAAATTGGTGGAGGCAGCATGTTTCCAAGCATGGCGGCTGCTGAGTGTTCTGGTTCTTAATGGTGAAAGTTCTTCATGGTCGCAGCTGGTGCCAGCCAGTGTGCACATTGAAACTCGGAGCCAGAGGGTTGCCCTGGCTGGATTGTCCAGGCGGTGTGCCTGGTGGACTGGTCAACCTTTGCAGGCACGCCCCGAGGTTCCGTTGAGTGAGCTGATCAGTGCGAGACATGTGGACTATTCGGGGGATGCGGTTCTCAAAGCTTTACCCTTACGCTTGGAGGAGTTGGCTCCTGGATTACCGGAGGACGGGGTGGCCGGAAGCTTGGACGCACTTGCTAATGCCGATGATGTGGTCGGTCGTTGGTTGGGTGATCCTACGCATGTGTTGCTGAATCCTGAATCCTGGCCTCGCCCTCTACCTTCTGCCTCTATGAATGTTACGCCTCATGAGTGGGAGCGAATCGTGGAGGTTCTTTACAAAAAGGGGATCGTAGAAGCGATTGAGTTGAGCGAGGTATTCCATGTGGGGGACCAACCCGTTCTCAATGGGGTGTTTGCTGTACCCAAAAGCGGGACGCCCGCTCCCGGCGAGTGCCGGGTAACCCGGCTCATAATGAATCTCGTTCCGGCTAACGCGCTGCAAAAATTGATGCCTGGTGATCTCCCCACCTTAGCGGGATCTAGCAACTGGGCGTCCATCATCCTCGATCACGGTGGGTGCTGCTTTGGAGCGGTGATGATCAAAAAGGAGCTTTTTATGCGTGGCGCTTACCAAAGACCTGGCGCAAACTCATGACATTCAAGCTCCCCGTGCCTGGGCACATTGTGGGCCGCCCGGACCGTGACATGGTTCATGTTGCGTCGGCGGTGATCCCGATGGGTTGGATTAATGCGGTGAGCCTTTTTCAGCACCTGCATCGACAGGCTGGGTTGGCACGGGAACCGTGGGGTGCAGGGTTGGATCCTGCAATGGAATGGCGTCGTGACAAACCTGTTCCGAAAGGTGCTGTGGGTTCGTCGGGGGCGTGGTTCCAGTACTACCTGGATGACTTTGATTGTCCTGAAAAGGTTCCCCGTCACAAGTGGGAGGCAATGGCCAACACCATTTCACCAACCCACGCTCGGCAGCGGTTGTCTTACAACAGGATAGGCATCGGAATTGCGGAGAAGAAAGCTCACATTCGTGAACCATGTGTGGTTAGGATGGGAGCCGAGGTTGATGGTGTCAATGGCTTCCTTTCAGCGCCTCGGGATAAGATGTTAGAAACAGGCTGGCTTGCTTTGTTTGTCATTGCAAAACCATCGGTCTCTCCCCGGATGATGATGGTGGTGCTTGGGCGTCTTACGAGGTGTTTTGAGTTTCGCCGCCCGCTGATGAGCTTGATTAACAAGTGCTGGCCAAAGTCCATGTGGTGCCGTGGGAGGCGGTTGCCTACAGCTCACATTCATGAGCTGGTTTGTGCAGTATCTTTGCTGGGTTTGGCGTTGGTGGACATGCGTACGCCAGTGTCTGGTCTGGTCACCTGCTCTGATGCTTCAACGTCAGGAGGTGGGATGTGCGCGTCAAGTGGACTTACTTCTGAAGGTGTGGACTTGCTTGAGCAGTTGGATCAAACCCCGCATGATGGTGAACGCTTTCGTCCCCAGGGAAGTGTTCAAGGCTACAAGTCGTCTGGTCCACGTGTTTTGATCATCTCTCTTTATGATGGCTCCAGTGGTGTTATGTGTGCCCTAACTCGACTCGATTGTGCTGTGCAAGGTTACGCTTCAGCAGGAGGTGATTCACTCGAAAATCGTTTGTCACGCACACGTTTTCCTGGGATGATTGAGCTGGGAAGGCCCGGTGACATTGATGCAGCTACTGTTTCCAAGTTGGTATCGTCGATTGGCTATCGTCTTGACTTTGTCCTTCTTGCTGGCAGCCTTCCTTCCCAGGAGTCACCTGGGGTGAAAGGTCAGGCAACTCCGGGAGGCGATCACAAATCAGCCCTCAAAACCTTCACTGATTTGTATGAGATGCTCACCATGTCTTTTGGCGTTCCGGTTCATTTGATGCTGGAGAATCTTTTTGAGCTTCGTGAAAGTTCTTTCGCTGCTCTAAATGAGGCTTTACAACTCAAGCCCTACTTGGTCGACGCAGCCGCCTTTACAGGGGTGCGGCGGCCCAGGCTCTTCTGGGTTACATGGGAAGTCTCGTGTCTGCCGGGCGAAAGCATCGAGGACAGGGGTCGTTTTTATGTTTGGAATTTCCCGTGTAGGCGGGGATCCAGGCATGACTGGGTTGACCCAGGGTGCAAGTGGAAAGGCTCTTCCAGCGATCTGCTGCCTGTGTTTACGCGTCCTCGTGCACGGTCCTGAACTTAGCTCGTTCCCCCAAGATGCGATCTCGCGCTGGCATGGTGACAGGCATCGCTTTGATGTGTCATGTTACCTTGAACCGCACATGGCGGTTACCGCAGAAGGTGTGCTGCGCTTGCCGACGCTTAGTGAGCGCGAGCGGCTCATGGGGTTTCCGGACAACTACTTTTCTGCGGGACTTCATCCTAAGCTTAAGGGTGAGGAACGTCAGACGGTGCGCTCGCAGTTGATTGGTGGAACTTTTTGTGTGTTTTCTGTCATGGTGGTGCTCGACTCCCTTTTAGAGCAGTTCGATCGCAAGGCTTCTCGACAGACCTCTGCTTTCTTTAATCGTGGGGCTGCGCCGCCCTGCTGGACAGATGCACCTGTCTTTGTGAAGCATGCAGCACACAGCGATGAAGTGACACGGTTGGTGACGCATTATTTGCGGGTTGCTGAACGAGGTGGTACTGACGTCCGACTTGATGCGGGGATTCCGTTCAGGGCTAAAGCATGGCCTCGCAGTGGGATTCAAAGTCACCTCTTCAACTGGGCTGTGGTGCACGGTTATCCATGGAGACATGTGGCTCACATTAACGTTCTTGAGCTGCAGGCAGTTGTAAATTCCGTAAAGTGGAGACTTCGCCGCTCTGACAATCTGGAGCATCGTGTTATGTTGCTGCTTGACTCTCAAGTCATTTGCGCTGTGATTGCAAAGGGTAGATCTAGTAGCCGTCGCTTGCAACATTCTCTCAAGGTGCTGAACGCCCTGTGTTTGGCAGGAGGCTTAGTTTTGGCCATAGCTTATGTAGACACGGGTAACAACCCGTCTGACATCCCCAGCCGATGGGGAAGCAAAGCGCTCCCAAGCCAAGACCGCGCTTGACGCTGCGTGATCAGATGGTGACGGCGGCAATGCAGTTGCGCTACGCTCGTGCCGTGCTAAACTTCCTCACCTTCTTGGCGGACTCTGACTTGGCTTCTCACAAGATTTCGCACTTGTGCGATGCTGCATCTGAATGGGTCGAGTTTCTTTACGCGGATGGTGAAAGGAAAGGTCTGGCTAGTGATGGTCTGGCGGGCTTGCATTTTTATTTGCCGCAGTGCCATGGCAGATTGAAGCTAGCGTGGAAGCTGGTGAAAGTCTGGCAGAGAATCGAGCCACCGATGCATGTATTGCCTCTCAGTCCACTTGTGGTGTTAGGTATGGCTGGCTTGGCAGCAGGTGTTGGCCTGTCGGAGGTCGCAGCTGGGCTTTTGGTGTGCTTTGATGGGCTACTGCGCAGCGGTGAATTCTACCAGCTGCGGGTTTCTGACGCGACGTTTTACTCTGACCGTGCAGCGCTGCGTTTAGGCCTTACCAAAGGCGGGAAGCGGACGGGCCAGGAGGAGATGGTCATCATCAACAGCTGCCTGGCGGTCCGATGGTTGCGCAAAGCTTGTGCTGGCAAGCGAGGGAGCCAACTCGTCATGACTCAAGGTGCGGGACTTTTCCGTAAATGGTTCAAGATCCTGTTGGCAGAATTCCGGCTACAAGATTTGCACATCAATGTTTATTCCTTGCGCAGAGGAGGCGCCACATGGGATTTTTTGGAGCACCAATCCATGGAGCGCACACTGCTGCGAGGCCGTTGGGCCTCGACCTCCTCAGCGCGGGTTTATCTGCAGGACGCAGTGGCCACTGTGGCTCACTTGAAGCTGGCCAAATGGCAGACGGCACTGGCCCAGCAAGCAATGGCCTTTCTTTGATTCGGCAAAGCCAGGGTGGGAACGTGAAGGGCTTCTGAGTGTGTCCTGCGACGGCAGGCGGTCTCAGTTGTTTATATGTTGTGCATTGAAGGGCTCCAGCCCGAAGGGCGCCTCTTCGCTTTCTGGAAGCCTGGATGCAAAGCATTGGCTCTTCACTTGGAGACTTTGAGATGGAATGCATCTCTCTTCAAACCACTCCTGGCGTGATGGAGAAAACAGTCTCAACTCAGCCACATGGAGTCATGCGAAGGTAAAGACACTTCTTGATGTAGCTTGTGCTTGTGTTGAGGGAGCAGTGTTCGACACAGGCCGCTCATTGTAAGATTTGCTCTCCCACCCACCCGCCCGGTGGATTCGGTTCCGACCGGGGGGTCGGGGCGAAGGGCTTCTGAGTGTGTCCTGCGACGGCAGGCGGTCTCAGTTGTTTATATGTTGCGCATTGAAGGGCTCCAGCCCGAAGGGCGCCTCTTCGCTTTCTGGAAGCCTGGATGCAAAGCATTGGCTCAGCCACATGTCCTTGTAGTATCGTTCAAGTTCGCTCCGCAACCTTTCGACGGCGTCTTTCTCCGTTGCCGTTGGCGGCATGGGCTGAGCGGGCTGAGTAGTCGGTGTTGGCTCGGGAGCTGCCTCCATGACGCCTCGACGGACTGCACTGCAAAAGTGCGTGTTGGGAGCCTCTGAGGTCTCTGGAGCCGAGACACTTTCAATGCTGAGTCTAGACTCCAAGACAATCACAACCGACTCGCTGCTAGCATACTGTTTGCAGCTGGTTACCTGAATCATGCGAGACTTCCAGAATACAATATGCAGCAGTGGCGGAGAAGGATGTGCTGTGCGAGGCTGGCTGCTTGCACGTTTCACAGGCCCTGTGGAGCATGATGTTTGCAGATAGTGATCTGCCTGCGGAAAGTATGTGCCGAGACTGCTCAGCGATTGCTTCCTCATTGATGGTGAACACACGGAAACGCCAGTTAGTTAGATAGCTATGTGTATGTTGGGCAGTGCCTAGACACGGTGATAAGAGCTATGAAGGCCCTATTTTTGGAAACACTGACTGTCTGAGGCATATAATCGGGGCACAATCTAAATTAGCTAAGCCTCAAGCCTGGCAGCAGCAGCAGCAGCAGCAAGACAATATGCGAAGGCTGCGAGGCTTGACTGATGTGAAATGCCGCCGGTTCCGCTTCTTTCTCGCATGCGACTGCTTGTGCTCATCGACGAACGCCGGCCAGGGCATCATTAACTCAATTAGCCTGGTCCTCTAATGAGCCTCTTCTGCTGTCCTAGGATACTATGTCCCCATCAACCGAACCTAACACACATTAGACCCTCTGCCACCAGATTGGACTCACTTGGCCAGTGCCCAACTACGACAAAGAACGAACCTTGGCTCTTCTTCTGACGTTTCGTGAGGGTCTTAGAAGGAATGTTAAATTATCTGGATGCTTCCGAGACTCGGTCAGAAGAGCGGCACGTTTAGAAAACTGCGAAATCCGTGAAACAGAAAGGGTGAAACAAAGCGGTCCTCAAGCTTCTCGGTCCTCAGCCGGGATGCCACTGCCACTGATCGACACTAACACCAGCTACAAGAGATCTATTTCAGAAACAAAAATGTCTTTTGCGGGCCAGGCTCCCTCGCGGCAATCATTGCCTCTTCATTCTTGGCGGCCTGTTCCGACATGCCTTCTCCTGAGTACAACTCGCTCCAGGACCAGAGCTGCCGCACTGCTGCCAGGCCCGCAGCTGGCCCTCCAGCGGTCGTCCAGCTTAGCGACCGCTGCTGATGAACCTCATCCGTGCTGAAGCCAATCTTCCACCGACCATTGTCTTCGTCGGTGTAGACTTTGCCTCCCATCGGGATGATGCATGCAGGAGGCGATCTATCTCTGCAGGCACAGGATCGTACGTCCTCGTGCCGCCGCCAGTGCCAGACCTCGAAGGAGCTGCTGCTGACGAGGCCTTCTCAGCGGGTTTCCTCTTGGCTTCCCGCTTGGCCTGGGCCTTGGCTTTCGCCTGGGCCTTCGCTCTCGCTGTCTTCAAGTTCGGCGGCAGATTCTGCACCACGTCCTCGAAGCACTTCTGCATGGCTTCGCTGACCTGAACTTCTGTCTTCTTCTTCGTGCTGCTCTTCAGGAGCTTCATGACCTGGTCCTTCTCATTTGCCAATGTGGTATCTTGCAAAATATTCTCGACTTCTTCAAGGTCGAACTCGTCTTCGCCTTCCAGATTGCCATCTCCTTTCATCACAGCGGCTTTCACGGACGCAGCCTCAAGACCCGGGTTCTTGTTCAGGAGCAGAGCAGCTCGCAGAGCCTTAGTCTCCGCCAGGGCTTTTTGGCTCTTCGGAAGGGGCACTGCCCAGTCCTTGCAAAGCCGCTTGAGGATCTCTTCGGAGAGGTCGGCAAAGCCTGTGCTCGTGTGGAAAGACTCCAAGGAGCAGGCTGCCTTGTGGCTCGTGAGAGTCACGCCGGATCCGGATGACTTGTGTGCAAGCCACATTCGCACGGGCGACATCATCTTCAGCGGATGCACGAGGACGCTTGTCTTGTCGAAGACGAACAGGAACTCCAGTTCCGAAACCTCCATTTCGAAAGTCCATGCTCTGCAGCCTTCACCCCGCTCAGTGAGGATCTTCGTGGTACACTAGCTAGCGTATCCTCCCGCCACCTCCCTCAACACCTCCAGGGAGTACGTAGCAAGCTTCCGCTAACCGGCTTCACACAGTAGCGCGGACAACACGAACTTCTCTCTTTTTAGCGTTGTGGCGAAGTCCCGCGTTAGCCCGGAGAAGAACTCTAGCCTTTGGCTAGCTAATCTCCAGGGTGGGTTGGGTGGGCACTCGAAAATTGCCCCCCAATAGCAGGGGGCCTTTCAGCACAATGGCCACGGAGTAGCTCACATTCCACCGGCCATGTGCAGTCACTCTAGCACAACAGATTGGCTTCATTCTGTTTAGCTTCAGAGGAAAACCCCTTCGACGCTTTCTAGCATAGCTGCGTGGAGCCATTGGCGCCACTGCCTGTAGTAGCTCAGGTAGCGCTTCAAAGTCGACGCCCGGGTCTTCCCCGGAAGCAACATAGCTGCCCTCGCGGGGTCTAGACTCCCGTGCAGCTTAGCGAGAACCGGGGCATGTATCTCTAGCAGCTCTTCACGGAGCTTCCTCGCCCAAACCTCTAGCAGTCGCTCCTCTCTAGCCGCACTGATCGTGCTGGGCTGTAGCGTCTTCCGATTCCGCTCCCCGGGGGGAGGTCTTAGCGGCGCAGGTGGCTGATGCACCGCGTCTTCGACCTCTTCCCTTGGCGCAGGTAGCGGTGGCATCCGGGCTCTCCAGGTGATATCGTCCTGGAAGTAGCCGTGCACCCTCTGATAGACAGTAGCCTCCTGCCGCGCTTCTTGCAGCCAACAGTAGACACCATCCCATAGCCACGGCTGGTATGGGATACCTAGCTCTCGAGCTAGCTGCTTGGCGACATCCTCCGCGTCGTCCAGATCCACCACTGCTAGCTCCAAGACCCCAAACCCTTGGCTGGAGAGATGCCGGTAGGCCCTGTCTAGCGTGCGCCTACGTTCCTGCTGGACCGTAGCCTGCGCTTCTAGCTCTGCCTCCATCTCCCAGCCCCCGAAGAGCACTCCGGTCTCTTCGGGCTGTGGGTCGCTAGCTGGGGTCTGCGGGACCCACGAGGGTACCTCCCCGGAAGGAGCCCCCGCGGTATCGTCCCCCCCTAGCGTGGGAACCTCGGTAGGACACGAAGTACTTAGCGGGGGCGGGGAATCCCCAACCACAGTAGCGCAGTCGACGGCCGTAGCGGCTGCGCCATCTGGCGGCGTGGTCGGCGCCAGGGTAGCGTCGCTGTCCGACATGGCAGCGCACCCAAAGCAGGGCTAATTAGCCCTGTTCCCCTTCCTACCCGCACTCGAAATTTGCCCCCCAATAGCTGGGGGCCTTTCAGCACAATGGCCACGGAGTAGCACTGCTTCACCGGCCATGTGCAGGCACTCTAGCAAACAGACAAGCTTCGTTCTGTTTAGCTTCAGAGGAAAACCCCTTCGACGTTTTCTAGCGAAACACCTTCGATGTTTCCCCGAGGGATACTGGCGCTAGCATACACTGTCGTACCTCGTCCCTCGGCACGAGTGCGATTTTCTCCACATACTTTGGATCGATCACTATCCGCAGTCCTTCTGGCACTACCTCCAGCGTACGTTTGAGAAACCTCAACTGATCACCAACATCCTTCAGCGGGGGACTGCACTCAAGCTTATACTTTTCTTTCAGCACGCCAACCGTCTGGTCAACCTCATCCTCGAAACCTCCAAGTAGTCCATCATCGACATGGACCGTAGCAGCTTGATCTTTGCCACCATACACAACGGAGCATGCAACATTGCCGGTAAGGCCACAAACCTGACGATCTCCACTCAGTTCATCATGCCAATACACAGGAGCAAGTTGTTGTCCTGGTAAGCACTTCCACACACGGTACACTTCATTGTCCAGTCTGATGTACAACTCTTCACGCTGTTTCACCATCAAGAAAGCATCCGACACATCAAACGATCTCAAGACCCAGCCCGGAGTACTCACGAACATGTGAGGAAGTAGACGAAGCATCGAGGGACATGTTGAAGGGGCATAGGTATCCTGCCTAAACGGACTCCATGCTTTCAGCTGTTTGCACACTAGCCGCGCACGACGCAACCAGTGCTGTTTTCTGAATCGCCAGTCGTACACATACCGGCACTGCAAGGTCTTGTCCGCCGGAGGGTCAATCTCCACCTTCTCCAACACGCCCCCATGTCAATGAGTCGGGACTTCTCGTCCAGCCTCGATGTCGCTTCCACTTTCTCGAGCTGTTCTGCAGAAAGGACTGGAGGTCCTTCCTCTTCTCCTTGATCTTCCCAGAACACCTCTGGATCCGTCTCTGGTGTGAAGTCCACCCAGTCATCATCGTAGTACTGGGCATCAAACTCCAAGCCTTGCCACCAGTCCTCCATCTCTT